CTGTGATTGTAACGCTTTCAGCTCTCTACTTTCTCATGCTGAGATTTGTTTGTAGATGTCAAAATACAAAGATGAGATGCTTCATTCTCCCAGGAACATCTTGACTAGTCCAGGATATCTTGATATGGCCTTCCCTTTGTGAATGCATCCACTTGCCTCTAGCCATAATATCAATAATCTATTCCTTTTGAGGATTTCTAAATGTGTTCCACAAGGTTCTAATGGCTGTGATCATTATTGTTGGTTGGTTAATGGTGTGAGCCATATGAAAACAAAAAGTGGTTTATTTTAACTTGAGTTAAATTGTCACACATTTGAAATGGCCTGGCAGAAAAGAGTGGTGAGAGATTGGGCTGGACCTTGAAGGATGACAATAACTTCACTAGACAAAAGCAGGGTGGAAAAGGAAACTCAGGAAGCCATGGGAAGTCAGGATGTGCTCATGGGAAGGATGTGATGGCATCCCATGTATACTAGTTGGAAAATGGAATAAAGTTATCAGATGAGATGGGCCCAAATTTCAGGTATTTCTGTAAGCCAGGAAGAGGGTGGACTGGTGATATTAGGCTTGTGTTTTCAAGCCTCAGGCTTCACAATCATAAAGCACCTTTCCAAAAAGTCAGTGCCGTACACATTTTTAGGGAAAATCTTTCTTAAAATCATGTACTAGAAGCATACATGGATACACTTTGGAGTTGAATACAAAATTCACATGGCTTGAGTAACAAAACATGCACATTTGAAGACACTTTGGCATATCACTTGGACAATGCCTTCATGGCCCTGGGGCCTCTCTTCCAGTATGGTATACATTCATAAGACAGTTCATCTATTCCTTAGGCAACACAAAATGAAATCTCATTGCCAAATTCCGTGACCCTTTGCCCAGAGCATCGAGCATCTTTCTGGTCCTCTGAACATTTCTAAGTCTTCCTCTGAGAATTGATCTGCCTTCTGGTCCAGTAGAATTAGTCAGATATCATTTATATTGGCCTATACTGCTGAAGTCACCAGGCCCAACATTCAGTAGCAAGACATCTGTACCCTCCCTTTTGTAAGCTGACTAGCCATCATTCTCTTATCAGCCTTAAAACAGCATTATCACCTTGCTTTCTGAATGAGAAGATCAAGTGTGACATGTACTGTAAACACAACTGATGGGTGCTTCATCCTGGATTAGGATGCAGTGCTGGCTGGTGGGAGTTCCAGCAGCCATATTCCTATACGTAGACTTTTATCCTGAATGGTGTTTCATGCTGCATGAGATTTGCCAGCCCCATGGAAGACATGCTGACCTTCTTAATTCAATTCTCTAACTCCTGTCAATTGCTGCATTGCTGGACAATGTTTCATGACAGCTTCAGCTCTATATTTCTTATGAAGAATTTAACTAAAGCAAAACAGAATTTAGCCTTGCAAATCTCTGTCTGTGTATCTGTTTGTTTCTCTCTGTTTCTCTGTCTCTCTCTGTCTCCCTCAGTTTATTTTCAAAATCCACTCACTAATAAATACAATCACAACTTGAGAGAACAAATCACCTGTTTTTATTTAGCAGTGTTTTAAATAATAAAATATTCCTTACTGTCTTGAAACATCGTGAAGCCCTGTCTATCTACTATCAACTTCCCGAAGACTCATGAGTAATTAATGAAATCATTAAGAACAGTTCCTGGTGATTGGCACTCTCCTGGCAGCCCCAGTCTCCTCTTGTACTTTGTGGAAATGTCACTGGCTCCTGAGGCTTGATTTGGGGGATGCACTGGGGAGGTGGAGAGGGAGGGAATTTGATTACATAAATTTTACAACAGTCAGTTCAATTGGAAAGCTATTCCTTCAAGTTTCTGTACTTAGGAAGCTGAGCTGGGAAAAGTTTTAACCTTTCATTTATGCAGTACTATTAATAAGATTTTAAAGAAAGATATCCCACTAATATTATGTTTGCATTAAAATGGCATTGAGCAGCTCAAGTCAGTAAAGATGTAATGCAGAAAGTAATCATCTTTTTAAAAAATTTTCCCCCTGTTTTCACACATTTCCTTCTTTCTTGGCATAGCCTAGATTTATTCTCCTCTCTCCCTTCTAGAAACAGAATTTGGCATAAATAAATGATAGCTGAGAAAATGATATAAACAGAGTAGTAAATGCTAGATTTCTCCATCCCTCACTGAAGGCCATGGTGATTAGTTGTTCTGAGTGGCTGTCCACTGGAAAGACAGTGGGGCAGGTAGCTTATGTTTAATGTGCATGTTAATAAAGAAACTCATTCTTTACTTAATTACCCAACTCATAATAGAACAGGAACCCTCTAAAGCCTTTCATACCCTCAACACACTAAAACTGTTAAATCAAACAGACTACTTTGTCAGAGTACTGCCACGAAATGGAATTTGGTACATTTCATACCCCAATGAATTTAAATTGTATGGAGCTGATATTTAATACAAATGCAAGTACCAGTGGAATCTACATACTTAATATGCAATCTCTAACTCACAGAATTAAGCAGTTGATCTATGGGGCACAAAGGGATCATCCTTCTCTCAAAGAGAATATTTTATGACCAACAGTATAAAAGGCACTGACATAAACAACTGTTTGCAGCTCATTCTCATTCTGTCTCTTTCTCTTTCTCATCTTCAAAAGCCAAAACATACATGTAAGGATATGCTGTTTTAGACAAAGCATTTTAGAAAAATCACTTAAAATGTTTTTTTCCCTTCAGGGACAACTGAACCTTTGATAGGTGCTCAAGAGAGCTCTTATGATTTAGTTTGTTCCTCTCTCTCTCTCTCTCTCTCTCTCTCTCTCTCTCTCTCTCTCTCTCTCTCATTTTCCTTTTCTTTATTTGGTGGTGAGAGGAGGAGATAGCATGCAGATACAAAGCTCCTCTTAGAAGTGGAAATCATATAGCTTAAATTACAAAAGTGTTATTTATGGGTTTTACACCATGTCTGAACACCCCAGATTTTCTGTGACAGTGTCGATTTTAAATGTGTTTCATTTCATCATTGAACCTTTGCATAATTTTATATAGACCAAACAACTATTTTTTCTTCATCTCTGACCTTGTTTTTTGATTCCTAATATCTGGACACCCTCCTTTCAGTCATTCCAAATGCAGTCAATATGGAAGTGACTACTTTTTTGAGGTGATGATGATGGCATAAAACCCATGCATCCAACATCTTGTTATTCCCTGAGACACTTGAGGGAGAAGGAAGGCATTGTGTGAAGAGGTGCCTCATTTTTCAGAGAGAAGGCAGGGACTGAGGGCCTGGTTGGGAGTTCGGAAGCAGTGCCATTCCATAGTGCTCAGTTCTGAATTTTTGTTTGTTGTTCCTGGACTCCAGGGTGGCCCCTTCCATTCTGCCCAGCCAGGTGAGCAATCACAGTGGAATGATGATCCCCCAAGGCTTAGAGCTGTACACTTTAGGTTTCGAACTGAGTTTTAGGAGTCAGTCCACTTATTGAGTGTTAGGTGTTGTCTGTGGAGTTATAAAGACAAACATGACACCATCTCTGTCCTTACATAGCTCAAAATACATTTAAGGAAGTCAAGCATGTATTCATGAAATAGAAATTCACCCTAGCAGGTGGTGGGAAACACATCATTTGCTATTGAGGAAATGATCGGCAGTTGTTTAGGACCCTAGGGAGCTGGGAGTAGCATTGGACTATAACCCCAGAAAGATCTGGGATCTATGGGATCTGGGATCTATGGGAAGACCAAAAGGCCAGTTTCTTATTGACCTGAACATTGATTTTTGCTCTTGGTTTTGTTTTGTTGTGCTGGAGATAGAATCCACACAGATGCCAGGTGCCTGTGCTTTACCCACAGCCGTGAAACTTGATTTCTAAGGACCTTTCTCCTATCCAAATACTAACTAGGTCTGATAATAACTAAGTCTGATCCTGCTTAACTTCCAATGCAGGCATAGTATAGTTCTAAGAGCTTTCTTTCAAAGACCCTTTAATTTTTTTCCCTTTCATTTACTTCCTTTCTGTATGATGATTAAGTAGATTAAGTTAGGGAAAAAAGTTAAAGCGTGTGCCCTATGGTTCCATGATGAACCGGAAAAGCAAAGCTGTCAAAGGGCTGGAGGGTGCTTGTCCATCCCTTCAGGTCTAAGCAATTATGTGAGACAGGACAATATAAGCAAAAGGAAAGAGCCCAGCAAAACCGTTAGATTCCAGAATACCTGTTCATCTGCACCTCCTGGTGGGAATCTGAGATAGTCCAGACTTTTATCAACTTTAAGGGCAGCTCTTCTGAGGCTCTTTGAATAGGGTGCAGAGGGAAATTGTATTCTCAGACTATACTAAGAGGGATCACGAGGTAAAGAACTGACAGATAAATTCCAGTTAAGGCAAATAATATGTTCCCCCCAAACAATCTACAATGACCTTCACATGCCCTCCAGGGTGTAAAATATCACTCTATTTCTTCAGCCCCCAACCTAGTGCTGCTTTTGAGAGGCGGTTTGACACCAGCAGATATCCCACTGTTCTAATTCTCTCTACCTTCAGGAACAGTTCCCAGTAAAAGGGGCGGGGGCGGGATTAAGGCCCAAAAAATGTTGCTATCGGCTCTGTTTTGTGAAAGTTAAAAATGCTGGAACAAGAATTTGATCTCTCTCTCTCTCTCTGTCTGTCTCTGTCTCTCTCTCTCTCTCTCTCTCTCTCTCTCTCCCTTTCTCCTTCTCCCACCCCCCCTCGCGTCCCCTCTCCCCCACCCCTACCTTTTCCTACTTTCCTCCCGTCCCTCCTTCCACTGGACTCCCAGTTCTGCCCCTGCACGGGCCAGAGGCGAGCCTTACAGGTTGTCAATGAAACATGGAATTATTTCCTTTGATGGCTTAGATAATAGTAGGAGCTAAAGCAATGAGTGAGGTCGGCTGAGACCAATGCAGTCCTGCCCAGGATTAGAGAGCCAATCGCAAGAGCAGAGGGCGGGGCGTCGGCGCCAGCAGATAATTGCTAAGTGCATCGCTAGCACAGTTGGTCGGAGCTGCTGAAAGGTCTGGTCGCAGAGACAGGAACGCGTAATCTCAGCGTGCTCCATCCTCCACGGCTCGGCAGGGCAGCGAGCCTCTGGACAGCAGCCCCTCTGCTCCGCCCGCGGAAAAGGTACCTTTGCCTGCGTCCCGGGGTGCTGCTCCTGCGTGTGCGTTCTCCGGGGCTTGCCGTTCTAGCAGAGGTGGAGGGATTGCAGAAAGAAAAGTTTAAGGGAGGAAATGTGACAAAGGTGGGAATTCACTGTCTTTTGTTGGAAGGAAAACAAGCTTACAATTTGGACAACTTGTGCGCTGTCAAGAGCTGGTCTTGTTTACGACTCTTAATTAGCTGAGCTCAGGTCTGTGGAAATGGGTCTGGTCTTGGGCCAGGGGCCCTGCAGGGTTGGGGTGTAGACCCAGGTTTGCTGAGAGAGGGAAGCTAGATCCTGGATCCTAGGATGCAGCTGTGACCCATCCTTGTGAGGCTGGTTCTGAGAAATTGGTGGTGTGGATCCCCTCCCCCCCCTCCCCACAGGGTCTGCCTGGTCTACATTACCTTGACATACCTTCTCCAAACTATTATGACCTTCAACTCAAGTCTTCCTCAAGCTTCCATTTCGTTCTCCCCACTGCCCCCTTGCCCACTCTACCTTGGCTTATTTGATTTGGCGTGGGGACCCGTTCTGTTGACCCCAGCAGTAATCCCGTGTGTCACACAACTTGGTGAGAAACCAACAGAAACCTTCTTAGAGGAAGAGAAATCACTTCATTGATTAGCTCCTGAAAACTCTGCAAGACTTTCCAGGTTTGGTGTGTCCTGAAACCCTGGGGAAGGGGGTGCATTTGTCTCCTGGATGCCTTACACCTTTATTAAAGAAGGGTCCAGCCTCCAGTCTTCAGAAGCTGAGGGAGGTGAAAGTGGGTGGGAGGGGTAAGCTGCTGGGGTCTGGCTCTGTTGAGGGGCACAGGTTCATCTGTGGCAGAAAGATGGTGCTGAAGCCACCTTCCACACTGCTGACGCTAACTGCTCTTCAAGTGCAAAACCTGGCCGCCATAGTGGGCAGCTTGTTCAACCCAGCAGCACCTTGAACATTCTAGAAATCTGGCCCACTCGCTTGCTCTCAAAATCACTTTTGGGTCCTGGGGGAAAAATGTCTTTCCCCTGTTCTGCCACGAGGAGATGTTAGACAGGTGCTCCTGTGCGGGAAAACGTGGTGCACTTGGTCTTGAACTTCCAGTTTCCGCACTTCACCCGCTATGCAGCCGGTTGTACCCGCTCATGTTAAAAGCCTCCGAAGCTTTGGGGTGGAAGAGATTCCAGTGAATTTTCTGCCTCTGATTTCTGCCCCAGACCTGAATCCCGGAAGTCCTGGGAGGTTCTCTTCAGCAACACCTCTCCCCTATGACACTTCCTACAAAGGTGTAGATGACAGCTCCATTTTTGGGTTCCACAAATTCCTTTCCCTATTTAATTCTTATTTTCCTTCACCAGCACACAACAACAGGTTTTCCTCCATCTCCTTTCAGCAGCTATTTTGGGTGGGAACTGCTATTATGGAAGCTGTACTCACAATGGTTAAAAAAAAAAAATCACCATCTGACTTTTTTGTTGGTGGTCAGGATACAGTCAGCTTTCTCTTCTGCACATGCTGTCTGGCAGTAAGCAAAACAAACTTGGAGAACTGCACACCATGAGTCCCTTATGTTGGGGCCGGGGAGATGGATCAGAAGTGAACTTTTCTCAATTGCTTGGCAAATTTGATCAGGGATCTGGTCCTTTGTGGTCTGCCAAGGGCATATAGACCCCCAGAGAGACCAGGTATGGTAGCAATCAGTACAAGGAAATCCTGAACATAGGCACCTTGATCTTCATGAAGACAGTCACAAATTTTGAGTTATAGGAGTGTGTAGGGCCAGGATTTGGGAGCAGCACAGGGGTGGGGGAGGTCAGTTTAATAGATGCTAATATGTTAGATGTCTATCATGATAAAGAACATTAAAAGTAAGGCATTGAAAACAGCTCCTGATGGTGACTCATGCACAGAGGGAAAGGCTGAGTGGGGGAGGGAATTGAGGGAGCTTTGTAAAGTACAAGTGGGACATACGAGAGCACTTGCTTTTCCTCCCTCTCCCTCCTCCTCATTTCTCTTCCTTGTATTTCCTCATTTGGAACAGAGATTGTTAAAATAACAACTTAAGCTAAAAAAGAAAGAAAGAAAGCACAGGAGTATAGAAGCTGAAGAATAATAGACAAAACCCAAAACATGCTCATCACAGCTTCACCTTGGATGGGGTGGAGTGTGAAACCCCGCATCCAGTGCCTCTGCTGTGATCCAGTTTGGAGAATTTCATCGCTGGTGTGAGGTTAATTAACTCCTTGTGAATCTGGGTGACTGTAAGTGAAAGGGCTGATTGATGCTTGGGAAATTAAATTTGTTGTCATTTTGGCAAACATGATAGCTTTAGTCAGGATACTGGACAAGTACCTTTTAGAGATTTAGCATTTTCTTCTTTCCCAGTTGGTCAACCTGGATTTCTGTCATTCAGCTGCTGGGGGGTAGACGGGTTGCGTTTCTCTGCTTTTCTAGCCCAGGGTGATTTACTTAGAATGACAAGTTTTAGTCCTGCTCCTAATTTTCTGATTCTCCATCCCTATCATCCTTCCTGTCATCTCTCTTCTTGATAAGTGCATCAACAAATAATCTTATTGCCAACCCACTTTGATCTTGTCATTTTCTTCCCATTTTACTGTTAAACTATCCCCTAAACTAGGTTTGAAAACATCAAATTTTTTTTAGCAGAACAGTGTCTTTTTGTTTTCTATTTTAAAATTTACTTTTGTGGGAGGTTGGGGGAAATCAAATAAGCTAGTTTATTGGGTTGGCTATCTTGGTAAATTCTGTCACATTGTCTTGTTTTCTGGATATATGAACCCTCCACTTGTCATTGGAGAGGGTGTTGTCTGGAGGCCCAAAACAACCTGGAAAAATCCCTGAAAGTTGTCAAGGTTGGAGCATAATGTGATCCTGTTTATTCAAAATAGAAAGAAGTCTGTTTTGAAATCGAAACTCTGAAATGTATTCCCTACAATCTCATTTTCTCTTTCCATTTTTCATTTAGAAAAATTTCCCAGGCAAAAAGTATGAGCAGCAAATAGTTTATCGGACTCACTCACCTTTACATTCACATACTTCTTCCTTCCACCCAACTGGGGAGCTATTTCACCTTGAAACACGTACCTGAGTAATCTTAATCTATTAGGCAAGTGTACCTCTCTTTCCTCTCTCCTCTCTGGTTCTTTCTATCATTTAAGGGCAACCTAGATGAGATTTACTTTTAGTTGTTCTGCTCATCTCACTTCAGAGAGTTAACAGGAGACTTCAGGAATGCTGGCATGCCTTTGGGAGTTGGCCCTGTGGGAGCAATGAGGTAATCTTTTTGCCAAGTTCAATTCTACCATAGGCCTCACAGAACACCTGGCAGTTCACTGGTCTGCATGAGGCAGACAGGGTCAGTGTGTCTGAGCTTTGGGGGGAGGGGCAGGTAGTCCCATCAGATACAAGGTCCCACTGCTCCACAGTGCGGAGGGCCCCTCCTCAACCCCCACATGGTTCAGATTGACCTTGGAAGCATTAGCAAACACAGTGCAATTTGTCTGCCATTCTCGCAGTTTCTTTGTTCACTTCTCACCTTTGAATCTATCAGTAATTGGTAAAAATCAAATCTATTCATTAATACTAGGATGCAAATAGTTAACAGTGTTGTCTCACTAAGCATTTGATGCTTAAATTTTTTCCAATGTTGAGGATGGAACTAAGGGCTTCACATATGCTAGGCATCACTCTACCACTGAGCTATACCCCAACCCAGTATTTGAGCTCTTATTGGAAATAAAAAAAATTGTGTACAGTGAAATTTCAGACATCTGCTAGTGGGTAGGGGCATACTTTAGTTTTCAGGTAAGTCTGATTCTGCTTTTTCCTGCATTGAGGATAAGCTGTGATTACGCAGGCTATTTTCTTGTAATATTTGGAGTTTGAACTAGGCATGGTGGCATACACCTGTAATTCCAGCCCTCAGACACAGAGGCAGAATTGTGAGTTTGAGTCAAGCTTGGGCTACACAGTGAAACCCTGTCTCTAAAATGTACGTGCTTGGAATTTGGTGTATGGAGCCTAATACCTTAGATTTGACCTTGGGCCTTATCTGACTTTCAGTTTCCTCCTATGTAAAATCAGAGACTATGTTATCATATATTCCTTTGTGCTCTGACCTTCCCTCTTATTCTTGGCACCAGCTCCTATACCCATAGACGCCATAGCTCTGGATAACTTGGAGCTTGCTGATCACCCTCCAATGTGGCCAGAATGAAAGTGATTCGTTCGGAGCTAGAATCATGAAGGCAGGTCAGAAAGAATGGTGGATGTTATGCCAGAAGAAAAACAAGCTGAGGGGTGATGTCATAACTGATTTTGGTTTAGGAGGGGATGTTATATGGAGGATGGCGACCAGCTGTTCCCCATCTCCAGTAAGGATTGAACTAGAGAAAATAGACAGAAATTGCAGCAGATGGACTTAGATTAGGTATGAGGAAGAATTTTCCATCAGCAAGAGTTGTTTTTTTCTTTTTTTGAAAGGGAAGGTTGTGGAGTCTCTGTGATGATCCTCAGGAAGAAGAGCCTAATGACTGTGAGGAAGTGAGGAGGAGAGGTCCCAGAGCCTAGGGACCCAAACGCTCTCCTGGAGAGGGTCCCCTTTTTATTTCTCTGAAACCTCACCTGTAACCTAGGGCTGCTGAAGGGACTTAAACTCAGAGTCCCTCAGGGGAACAAGAAAGGCATGTGGCTAACTTGTGTTCCCCTCTCCCACCTCTGGACATGGAAACCCTTCCCTGCCCTTCTGTTAAGTGCCACCTTGATGGACAAATCCTTGGGGAACTCCCATAAAATTTAATCTTTCATTATCATGTGGCAAATGAGCCCAGAGAAGTTAGATAGCTTGGAGGCATCACACAGACAGCCAATGGCAGAACTGGGACCAGAATCAAAGTCTTCATCTCCCTAGTCAGTATTATTTGCTATGTAGCTCATTTTCCTCTTGTTTCCAAATTGAAAAGACTATTTGCATTCTGGG